ACGTAGGAGGGTCCACAAAAAATATTAGAAAAAACTTTTTCACTGTGAGGGTGACAGAGCCCTGGCACAGGCTGCCCAGGGAGGTTGTGGAGTCTCCTTCTCTGGAGACATTCAAAACCCACCTGGACATGTTCCTGTGTGACCTACTGTAGGTCATCCTGCTCTGGCAGGGAGGCTGGACTAGATGATCTTTTGAGGTCCCTTCCAACCCCTAACTTTCTGTGATTCTGTGATTTAAAACCAGGTTAATCAGCACAGATGCCACTGCACGAGGGATTGACATTCAAGGAGTGAATTATGTAATCAACTATGATGCGCCGCAGTTCATCAGGACATATATTCACCGGTAAGACAACCAGGAACACAAGGAAGATACCTGATCTTGGGTTACTTTGAGATATTTAGCAAAGGTGATGTGCACTTAAAAGAGGTTTTTAGCTTTGGATTTTTTTTTTTTACTTTAATACGCAAGTAGCTTTCTAATATAAATTGAGCCCATAGCTTCACCAGAGTTGTGCAGTACTGAAACAGAACTAGCACCCTGTTATGGAAAATGTATTTAACAGGAGCTAGCAGTACTGTCATGAACAGCATTGAGTATTGAGTTTCTAGACATTCAGAGAACTGCAGTGGCTCAGCAGCTGTGAATGAGCCCTGGTAGTGTTGATCCTTTGTAACATATGACAAGTCCTGCTGTGCTTATTTCAAAAAATGCAGAATCAGGCTCTCTTAAATCTGGATAATTTCAGACTCAAATTCTCGGAGCTGGTAATGTCACTGACTATGTGGCTAAGCTGCTTTGATGCTTCTTTTTTGGTTTTCAGAGTTGGAAGAACAGCTCGTGCAGGAAAAGTGGGTGTTGCTTTCAGCTTCGTCCTTAGAATTCAGGTGTGTTGCTGGTGTGTGGGATTCGTTTGGTAAGGATGTGTGCAGAAGCATAAGGAAGATAAGGTTCATACTACTTCCACCTTTTCCAATCCTTGGAAGTTTCAGTTATTTCCTGACTAGGCTGCATGTTCAAAAATGTGCCTGTTTTCTAGCTGATAGACAGTGAGGTGTCTCATCTCTTGTGTCTTTTGTTATGCAGGAACGTAGTTTTCTGCGGATGTTGAAGGATGCCGGCATCCAAGACATAAAGAAGCAGCCAGTGAAGGGCAACTCATTAAAGCCGTTGGTGCAGCAATATGAGGAAGCTCTGTGTAAGCTTGAGAAGACAGTCAAGGTAACTGGAATGGAGAAGAAAATTAAAAAATCAAACTACAACTTGCACAGTTTCTTACAACTCATAACTAGTACAATTATTGTAGTTCAGGATCCCTCCTTTTTACAGAGATGTTTCAGTGTGAAGGCAGCATTTGTGGGTGCATCATTATAAAGTGCTCAGAAAGGGTAGGGAGAGGAGAAAGGGATTTTCTGTTAGAAGAAAGGAAGCATCCCAGGAAGTATTTAAAAGACATGTAGACATGACACTTAGGTACGTGATTTAATGGTGGACTCAGCAGTGTTAGGTTTACAGTTTGACTTGATGATTGGTCTTTTCCAGACTAAATTATTCTGTGATTTGTGGTGTTTCCTTTTCTGTTCGGCCTTTCTCTTTACCTCTGGAGCTGGGATTTTGTCAGCTACCCAGAGGAAGGTAAACAAAATGCAAAGAGTAAACCTTTTGGCATTACAGAGTTTTAAGGCTGTAATTTACAGCTCTGCTCACTGGAAGGTGAGTATTCCAAGCCAGGAAAGCGCTTTCTGCAGTCCCTGTTTCATACACCAGTGGGAAGATTTTGAGAGCTTTCAGACAAAAGCAGGGTAGCATTGAGCTTGCTCCGTGGGTAGAAAGTGGGGATCCATAGTAGACTTTGTGCTGTATGATTTGGACAAGGGTTCTGCTCTCTACTTTGAGGACCAGTTATAAACATCTATTCTTGAAAGATGCTGATTTGTAGGCTAGGAATGTTTGAGAATTGGTGCACAAAGGATTGTCCCCGTTCGGTCCCCATGTGTTGCCTGATCTAGTTGAGAGGCGTCCCTGCCCATGACAGGGAGGTTGGATTAAATGATCTCTAAGGTCCCTTCCAGCCTAGGCCATTCTATGATGCTATGATTAAGTTGTCCCATTGCTCCCCAAAGTCCCTTCTCTGTGACTTTGAGGCAGAGCCATTTTCAGTCACCTTCTCATCTTTAATTTTGAATAGAATGAGCGAGCACAGAAACGAGCCTGAGTGAATGGAAGCTGAGAAGGTCGTGTCTCGTGGCACTGAAGCCACCGTGTGGGATAGGTCATGGACTGCTGCCCAGCACGGTGACAACACAACTTCGTCCTGAGTGGAGGTGAATGGTTGGCTCCTCGGCCTTATCATGTTTGAAGTCAGCTGTTATGGGCCTCATTCCCCTTTCAAGGACACTGTGAACAGAGTTCAGTTACTTGTTTAAAAAAATAGTTTTGAGATCCAGTTGTCTTGAGGAGGACTTTGCATCGTATCTTACTGGCATATGTAGAACTGCTGCCAGTGAAGTGAGAAGCCGTTACACAGCTCCTGAGCGTGGGCCTGTTGGAACTGCTGGTCTCCAGGGCTGAGAGCTGTGCCCTTCTTGCCCCTGGACTGGGACAACTCCTGGTTCTGTTTTACTGCACAAGCAGCTGTATCTGCAAATGCATCAACACCTCTGCAGTGTGTATAGCAGGAGTGTGTTTGGAGAGCTGCTCTAGGATGAAGTGACTGCAACTTTCGAATAAAAACTATATATATTTTTAAAACATTGTCTAATAAATTTTCTTGGGTAGAGGAATGGTAATAGTGTTGAAGGGATTTTTCACTTCTATGGTCTTGTGCCTTTCTTGTCACTTTCTTGTCTGTGTTGTTTCCTTCCACCCTTCAGTACCAGTGGTGACCACAGGTTTTATTGTTAGATTGGTGTTAATGCAAACATAAAGTCATGTCTAATATGAATATACCAGAGTCAGCTAGTATCCTTGCAAGCCATAAATATGTATTTGGCACATGCCACTGATATTTTTAGCTGCTTGGACGTGGAGCTACCCTGCAATTTGCCTCCAAGACCTTCGGCAGGAACTGCCCCAGCTCTGGCTGCTTATTTTGCAGAACAAAATAAACGTACACCAGCTTTAGGGCTACATTACTGGAGCAAAATCAAGTGTGGGGAATCGTGGAGGGATGGATATCGGGAGGGATGGTTGCATCTTGTCACCACAGGAGCGGTGCGGGGTTGTTTTACAGCAGTGAATTAGGGCGTGTCTTCCTACCCTGTAACGACTCTCGGAGCAAAACAAGGAACTGCCTCTCCATCCTCTCAGCCCCGCTTGGCATTCCCTTATGGCCAAGGTGTTAAGGACAATTGTTAAGCCAAAGTTCAAGTACGACGCAACTTTGCCCTGAAAAATCGCCGGCCCCCGCCCTTGGGCACCACCCGGCGCGGCCCCGCTC